TTAAAGTATAAGATAAAAATTTTTTTATTAAATTTATCATATTATTATTATTAAATATTTTAATATTTTTAATATTAAAATATTTTAATTTTTTCCTTTTTCTATTTTCTAAAGAATGGAGCATTAAAGAAAGGAAAAATAAAAATTATTAAATAAAAAAAAGATATCAATATTAAAAATCTAACCTTTCTTAAATTTTAATACGTGACTCAAGTGATCGCTATATAAATCTCCACTGACACCATCAGAATTCGATTTCCCACTTCCCATTTCCCATTTCCTTTCTTCAAAAAACTTGAGATTTATCCTCAACCGTGTAGGGGTAAGCATCCTTTTATCAATTTGTGGAAGAGAAGGCTTGATCCGTCTGGGTTCCTCTCTCCATGCCTCCATTCTCAAAAACCACAAATTCCTTCACCCTCAGAATCCCGATGATTTCAATGAAGGCCTCCTTATCTGGAACTCTCTCCTCTCTGTCTATGCAAAATTTGGGGATCAAGCTGATGCTCTTAAGTTGTTTGATGAAATGCCTATTAGACATACCATTTCATGGAATACACTGATATCTGGTTTTTTGAGGAATGGGGATCTTGAGGGGTGTTTTGGCTACTTCAACAGAATGCAAAGCTCAGAGCTTTATCGTTTGGACCAAGCAATGATAGAGAAGAGTTTTATTACGTCAACAGGATGATACATTGTTTAGCGGTTTTGAATTGATATGAAAGGATAAAATGTGTGGGAAATGCTTTGATAACATCATACCTTAAATGTGGGTGTTTGAGTTTAGCGAGGCAGGTTTTTGATGAGGTGTTTGAAATAAATGTTATTACTTGGACGGCGGTAATCTCAGGTCTTGCAAAAAATCATTTCTATGAGGACAGTTTGAAATTGTTCGCCAAGATGCATTTGGGATCAGTGGTTCTGAATACTTTGATTTATATGAGCTCGCTGGTGGCATGTTTTGGTCTGCAGACACTTCGGGAAGGACGCCAAATTCATGGCCGTCTGTGGAAATTGGGGATTCAATCTGACCTGTGCATTGAGAGTGCTCTCATGGATATGCATTCAAAATGTGGAAATGTTAAAGATGCGTGGCAGATTTTTGATTCTGCTCAAGAGATTGATGAGGTTTCCATGACTATAATCCTTCTGAGTTCTTCACAAAATGGATTTGAGGTTGAAGCTATACAGTTTTTTGTGAAAATGTTCAAGGAAGGAATCCAGATGGATCCAAACATGGTGTCAGCCGTTCTTGGGGTATTTGGTGAGGATACCTCTTTGGGGTTGGGTAAGCAACTTCACTCGTTAATTATCAAAAGAAGATTCAACTTTAACCCCTTTGTAAGCAATGGACACATCAACATGTACTCCAAGTGTGGAGATTTAGAGAAAGCGATCAAAGTCTTCCATTGAATGTCTCAAAGGAACCTTATATCATGTTCCACCATGATTGCAGCTTTTGCGCGTCATGAGGACGGCCCTAAAGCTTTACAATTATATGAAGAGATGGTATCAAAAGGGGTACAAGCAACTGATGTTACATTTCTCTCTTTGCTCCACGCATGTAGCCATGTTGGCCTTGTTGAAAAAGGCATGGAGTTTTTGAGATCCATGTTTGAAGTTCACAGAATATATCTCAGGACAGAGCACTATGCTTGTGTTGTCGACATGTTAGGCTGGGCAAGTCTCCTTAATGAAGCTAAGACTTTTATTGAAGGATTGCCTATGAAGCCTGATGTTCATGTTTGGCAAGCCCTACTTGGTGCCTGTAGCCTCCATGGCAATTCTGAACTGGGGAAATATGCGGCTGATCAGTTGCGCTCGGCAACACTAAAGAACCCAATACCATATGTTCTAATGGCCAACATATATTCTTCTGCTGGTGAATGGAAAGACAGAGCTAGGACCATCAAGAGAATGAAGGAAATGGGTGTGGTGAAAGAAATTGGTATTTTTTAGATCGAGATTGAAAAGAAAGTTCATAGCTTTGTTGTTGGAGACATGCAGAAAGCATCCACAAGCTGGGGCAATTTATGGAGTTTTGCTGGAGCTGTTCGAACTCGTGTTAGAGGAAGGGTAAGTGTCGGATAAAAGGTTTATTTATTCTCTATTACATTGATCAAGACTAAAACGGACAATCACCAAAGTATTCTTTAATTTCAAATTTGGGATTCTATATGAGCTGTAGACTCATAGAAGATGGCAGGCGTATCATTTTCTAAGCTTTTCTACCTTGTGTCTAAAATTGAATCGGCCATCTCCAATGCTGATGTTAATGAAACTTTTTGAAGATAAACTGTACTTCTCTGTTTGTTTTTAATTTTTTGATTGGTCTCTAATCTCTTCCTATTTTGATCTCTGATCTCTAATTTTTATTTATTTTGGCTTAATAGTTAATAACCATGTAAATGGTATTTGTTATCTGTGCTCCTTTTCTTTTAAAGTCAACATGTTAAAGAAACATAAATTAAGTAGTTCTAGCTAGTTCCTACCTCACGCTATTTCAATCCTTGTATCTGGAGAACCAAATACATCATTCTCTTGCTGCGGGATTTATCTACTTTTGATGTTATTAAACCCATCTTATTCTCATAGGCATTCTATGAAAATGGTTTGTTTTGATTTTGAAGCATACGGAACGTCCTTATAATAGTTTAGTCCAAAGCTATACCTCGTACATTATAATCAAAGTGTACGATTGCTCTGTGCTTTCAATATTTCTAAAGGATTTGAATTTCCTTGACCGGACGTTGTCCTAGATCACTTATCATCATATTGAAAACTTAGAACCAAAGACCACATAGAAATATATCAGAATAGGAGAAGGTGAGGTTATAGAATGAAATATTACTTCTTACACCAAACTGCATACAGATTACCCCACAACTACATGTAGAGAACCTTATAAGTTCAAATACATTGTTATCAAAACAGCTCTACTAGCTGTGAACACGGAACATTACTTCGAAATGGCTTTCATGAATCGATTTAATGAAGAAAAGATGCCAGATGCTTGGCTAAGCAACGTCGGATTCTGCTCTTGCCTTGTTCTCCACATTTCCAAGTATTATCTGAAAAGATTTTGGAATATCTTCCAAGAATGAGTGTTTTGGACAAAGCAGATCAGAATGTAAAATATAGCCAGGTATGACAAGCAATTCGTTAAGTACTTAAACCGACTATTGTACTGAATATCAATCTGTTGTGGAGATAATTTTAAAGTTGCCAGAACTAACGAACTAACCTCATGGTCTTCAGCATAAGGCTTTGACTATGAGTTCTTTAGCAAGCAGGTATCTACCTGGCCTGTCTTTATCATCATAAAATACCTTCCATAATCTAATATATGATCAGAAAATAAGGAAAATAAGCATGTGAAACAAGGGAAGAATTTCGAGTATCAACATTAAAAGGAATAATTTTTCTACAGAAGAGAAGCTAGGATAAGGGTTGTTGTTGTTGCATTAGTTTAAAATGTTGATGTTTTCAAACCAAACATGAAAAAGATAAAAAACAAAAAAATAAAAACAAGAATTGCAAAATAGTTCACCTAATTAAAAAGGAATGAGATTTATACCTTAGAAAGAACCGCCTTAATTTGCGAACATTAACCCCTACTCCAACATCCTCGCTTATGAGACTTGGGTTTCACATGATGAGAGGCCTATATGTTAGCGATATGTGAGGAAGGACTGTAAGGAAAATTATCCCCCCTAGCTTTGAGGTGTGAGTGAAGACTGAAGGGAACATAATGAAATTTTTTAATGTCTGTTAACCTTAATGGGAGATGTCATTGTGCTTCTTGCTGGACTAATCAATGTTGGGTTCCGCCCTGCCCGTCTTGGTAGGGTAAATAATAGGTGTTATTTTCCAAATTTCTCCTGGTAATTCTGACAACTCTACTGCATTAATTAAGAAAAGAATCCGAAAGAAAAATCATTATAATAAAACAAGAAGGAAATAGAAAGTAATGCATATGCTTCAAGTTTGTTTATAATACAATCGGAATATGGTGAAATAAATATAAGGTAACATGAGTGTTTTGAGATACATTTAAAGGTTCTTCCTATAATGAAGATTGAATTCTAAACACAGGGCTGGCAAGAAAATAACAATATCTGTAACTGTTCACTCTAGTATTATGTGAACATTTATACATCTAATTACTCTATCCATTCAGTTGTAATTGACCTCTTTTTCTCTCCAGTAATTAGGGATGTAATAATGAATTAATAAAAGTTCATACTTATTTCCAACTACATACGGATAAGTGTCTACTTAATACACATTGTAATTATCTTGGTAACATAAAATATGAGCTTTTAATGAAACTCTTAATTATAAAATTTCTAAAAAGTGCCTTTAAGAATGTATTTAATATATATCTTTTAACAATGAATTTTTCTAACTTATGTTCGTAGGACATAGGTTAAGAGTACTTTTTTATTATAAATATGTATAAAAGAATGTAAAAGTTAATATTAATTTCAGAGTTATTGTCACTTGGATGAATTAAATTGGACAAATGATAAATTAAATATCAATATTTATTTTTTCAAGACTGTTAACATATACCCTTAAAATACAAGTGAAAAAAACCCTTTAACAATTAAGTTATATAGAAAAAACAAAGTTTTACTTTAATTTTAACAACTAACTAATTAAATTAATTCATATGATATTGCTGTTAAAATTAATATTCATTTTTTTAGTTTTCTATACAACTTAATAATTAAAAGGTATATTAATTACACTATTAACCTTGCCATAAAGACATAGGTTAAAAAATTATTATAAAATAGTCTACTGTTGAACACAAAAATTAATAAATTTATTTTACTAAAATTACATGGAATGTTTACACATTAAACGTCTATGGAAACCATTGGAAAATTTACAGCCGAATGAAAATGTCTTTACTCCTGAAAATAAATTTGGATTTATTCTGATATATATAATTGAGCTTGAAGACTTAAAAATAATTAATGGATGAAGCTCAAGCTGCTCATTTTTAAACTGATGGTGTTTACAAAGTTTTGTTGCTTATATATTTCTTTGAGATCTTCAGATAACAGAAAACAAAATATTCTTTTGAGATTTACATTCCATCTCAAATATTATCAATTAATGTAATATTAAATCAAATGAACTCTTGTTATACTCTATTGGTATTGCACAAAGTATGGACTATTTAACAATGACATTATTGCTTAGCATTGACGCGTGTGCAAGATACTAGAACAGAAGATTGAAAGTCAAGAATAATTGGATATGAAATAATTCAGAGAAAACAATTGAAAGCGAAGGAAATGGAGAAAGGAAATTTCATATAGACGTATGCAATGGGATGTGGAAAAAGCATGTCTAGCATCTTTTTTTGCAGAACTTAATAACTCCATCACAAAAAAGAGAGATATAAAGAAATTTCAAAGTGAAGAAAAAGACTAAAATAAGCGTATACAAGGGAGTGAAAAAATTCATGTTAGGTCCCACCTGATCGAGCTATTGGAGAAGTAAATGGCGAAATTAATTAGTTGATTAAGCTCAAGCTCCTTAACGTTTAAACTGGTGTTCACATGATTTGTTGCTTATACTTTTTGGAGATCTTCGGATCAGGGAAGAAAGAAATTTTAAGAAATTTACATTCCATCTCAAATATTTTTAAATTATACGATATTAATTCAAGTAAACTTTTTTTTTTTTAATAATCTAATCAGGATATGGACTATATATAGAATAGTGACGTTATTGCTTAGCACTAAGGCATATGAAAAATACTAGAATAAAAGGTTGAAAAGTCAAGAATAATTAAATACACAATAATTCATTGAAAATAATTGGAAGTAATGAAAAGGAAAATGGAAATTTCATATAGGCGTATGCAATGGGATGTGGAAAAAACACGTTTAGGTCCCATCCGAGCTGGTGAGGTAATTAATGGCAGGCGTGTCCAATGGGTTACAAAAAATAGAATTGAAAAACAATGCTAAGCAAAGAATTCAATACTACAATGACCCCTGATATTGATCATTTTAGATTAAACAACTTCATCGGTCATCTACACTAAGGTTCCTTTCTATCAAGTTTTGTTTCTGGTAAGCATCTTGAATTCGCTCCATATTCTTCTCTACTATAGTTTTTACTTTTTGATGTTTATTAACAATTATATGGTGATGTTTTTTGTTAAAAAAACAATACAAGCATAATCTTCCTTAATGCTATACCTGATATCTTCTCAAATATGGAAAAATTAACAAAAACATTTGCTATGAAGTTACTGGAACCATAACAACTCCATATATTATTCACATCCAAATAGTTTTAGCCATTTCATGTAAGCAAACATATAAGCAAGTAATTAAAAGAAAAAAAATATATATCTCATCAAATTGGAAAATTATTAATTGATAGATACTTGGTTGATACACATCTTATTCAACTATTAAAAATATAATATAAATACAATTGATTCAGTCAATTTTTACATCCTGTGTATACGATTGTATTTTCAAACATAACGGCCTTTGATTTCAAACTCAAAAATAATAATTTTTTAATAAATATGTTATGTAACATGTTAAAACAGAGTGTATAGCGACCACTGTCCCATCAAATTACTCCAGTAGAAAAAGTATTATATTACTTGAGTGTCTTTTATTTATAAGAATCATAAATTAGCACAACCTTGATATAAGCAAATAAACTTATTTGAAGTTATGGGAAAAAGGGAAAAACACTTATTTAAAATTTGAACTATATTGCTGGTAAATGCTTATAGCTTTTGCTGTTAAGTCAGAACCAACTGTGTTTTCTGGAGAATGTTACTTTCATTAACATATTCATTTTTACATTTATGATAGAAATGGAAAGTGATTGGCATATCATTTGATACAACATGTTGCATAATATATTTAATAAAAAATTATTCTTAATTTGATATTAAAAACAAACAAACTTGAAGATGCAACCATACAGCATGTAAAAACCGGTTGAAGTAGTTGCATTTATATTATATTTTAATAGTTAAATCAAGCAAATATTGAAAGGTGTGTCAAATCAAAGAATGTACCAATCTTTTTTGTTTTTTTGGTAGAGATTCACTCCCTTAAATTAAAATTTAGCCCCACTGAAAATTCTTAACGTGAAAGTAAACTTAAGGGAAAATTATAGAAGTAAACTTTATTTTCAATCCCATTGCCACATTGAACTATTTAATTTGATAGTTGATAAAATTTAAATTGATTTTGATTTTTTTATACAAATTAATGGTGCAAATGTGTAATAAATACACCTTTAATTAGATTAAAAAATTCCTTTTATTTAAAGGATTACTACAGTGCAGGTGACATCCTAAAATTTTTTTGGAAGACCTGGCTTTACATTCTAATTAATAATTTCAAAAACAAATCATTAGATAGAAAATCATGCATGTTAATTTTTATATTGATATAACACTTATAACTCTTTAATCAAGAAACTTTGTCTAATGACATTCATTTAACGATGTTAAATTTTGTGTATTTAACAAATTGGCTAGGTCTATAATTAGATTAATCTAAAAATTGACATATATGATCTATATGAATAGAATTTTAATCCAATGGTTGGTTTTCAAAAATATTAATTAGAAAATCAGTTTTTAGACATGTCCTCAAAAAAACATTTGGGGGAAGGACTTGTAAAACATTTTTTTCCATATATATAGTTTGATCTTGTTAGGTGGGTTAATTAACAACAAACAAGCTTAATAAAACAAGGTTTTTTCTTTAATGTCATAACTATTTCTATATAAAAATGAATTTTTCTATCTTGTGCCCTTAATTAGGGAATAATATTTTTTTATGAAAAATAGAGATTTGCATTGAAAAGTAAAAAGAGATTACATCATATATTTATGTATCATGGCACTATAACCTAAAATTGAAGTATAACCTATAGCACTAATTACTTATGTAAACTATGCCCATGATGAATCTAAAAAATTAAATATAAAGAGCTATCTACAATTAAGGATTAAACACAATTGTTCTGAGGGTAAAAACAAAGCTACCTAGATGGAAGGATTATCTTAACTACACCACCTGAAGCACGACCCTATACCTTATTTTTTTAAAATTTGAGACATGACACACGAAGAGTGTCGAAAATTAAAAAAAAATAATATATATATATAAAATTTCATACAATATTGAATCTAATATTTAAATGTATTAAAAATAATTAATTTACAATAATACTTCATATGTTAAACGCTATTCCCTTTTCTCAATGACGTTCTAACATTTTTAATGTCAAGTTGCCTGATATTCCATTTTCTCAATGTCTACCAGTATTATTGGAATAAAGAGTTTATTTCTTCTATCTCCAATGTGCTTTGTATTCAGTTTGTGTGTGTTAAGGCAATCATATTATTTAGTCATCTTTCCTGTTATTAATTCTCGTCCATTTTTATAGAATGAGTCTAAAAAAATTGAGAGAAAAATCGTAATCCATGGGGTTGTTTTCAAGAGTGTTGTAGTATAATGTTGAAGTTCTAGTCTGTGCTTACACTTAGGCACTTTAAACTAATTTCGTCATATTTGCCTGACATATAATATTCCAAGAGCGAGTTTATATTTTTCCTCCATTTAAAAGTAGACAATTTTATTTTAGGATACTATTTAATCAGGAAAGATCCCTGTTGCTGCCTAGTATACAACGTTGTGGAAAAGTTGAAATACCGAACTTAAAAAGTCCATAACTGAAAAAGAGTGATAAAGACATTTGGAAGTGAAGGAAAAGACCAAAGTTTGGGAAGGTGGCGTGAAGCACATCCGGGTAAAAGTCTTCTACTCATTCTTGATCACATTTTCTATATAGCAGGAGATAATATGGAATTTTCAAGTAGACGTATGTAATAGGATGGAAAAAAACATGTTAGGTCGCATCTGAGTTATTTTGGAAATTAATGGCAGACGTCTTTAACAGGGTATGAAAATAGAATACTCCTTAGTTATTTTATTTTTAATTTTTAATTTTTTTAGATATTAATT